CATGCAGCAAGCCAGTCTGGGCCCCTCTGTCTGCACAGCCGTTGTCTGGGCCCCTCTGTCCTCACAGCCATCCTCTGGGCCCCTCTGTCCGCACAGCTGTCCCACACAGCCCTCCTCTGGGCCTCTGTCCTTGGCGCTGCCACCACTCCAGCCTTTGCTCTGCTCTCCTTCAGCCTTCGCTGCCACTGTGTGGCACTCAGAGCACTGGGCAGAGCTCTTTTTATAGAGTCAACAGCCATGTATTGCCCACAGGTGTGCAGTGAGCTAGTCAACCATGGCCAGGTGAGAAACCTGGCCACAGGAACTCTCATTTTATCCACGAATGTTTAAGATGTGGTAAATATACACAATGGAATATTATTTGGCCTTGAAAAATAATGAAATCTTGCCATTTGCAACAACATGGATGGATCTTGAGGACATTATGATAAGTGAAATAAAGGCAAATACTATATGATCTTACTTATATGTAGAATCTAATACAAAAACGAAAAACCCAAAACTCATAGAAAAGGGGATGATATTTGTGGTTGCCAGAGATGGAGGATTGGGGAACGGGGACTAGGAGAAAGATAGTCAAAAGGTACAAACTACCAGTTACAAAATAAATAAGTATTTAAGTACATGTAGTGGAAAGTATGATGACTACATTTAACACTGCTGTATGATATATATGAACATACATATATGATAATATGTTGATAGTAAATCCTAAGAGTTCTCATTTTTTTCTTTTTTTGCTTTTTCTTTGTAATGTATCTGTATGAAATGATGGGTGCTAACTAAACTTATAGTGGTTATAATTTCAAATATATTTAAATCAAATCATTATGCTGTATACCTTGAACTTATAAAGTGATATAATCAATTATATTTCAATAAAACTAGAAAAAAATTGACCTGGTGGTTTTGAAAAAGAATCAAACAGAATTTCTAGAATTGAAAATTACCACTGACTCAGATCTTCTTCCACCAGAGATCACCCCACCCCAAAATTTGTGTAAATTTCAACCTCCCTTCAAAGTGCAACTGGAGTCCATCCCTTCCTGAAGGCCTGCCTCCAATAGCTCATTCTGCAAGTTAGTGAATCTTGGCATAGTCCACCACCCCTTCACACCTAACACAGCTAGTTTTCAGTGTCCTCTTTCATGAAAATTAAAGTTCTTTTATTCCACAAGACTATGAGAATGACTTCAAGGTAAAAACCATACCCGGACACCTTGTTCCTAGTGCAGAGCCTAACACAGAACTGGAGCTCAGTGTTTATTGAACAAAAGGATGAATTAAATAGCGAATTAACGAATGCCTGAAAAAAGGTCCTCACTCTAAGGAACTAGAGGCAAGCAGCTGCAAACTGGTGGATGTCCTGAGTCAAAGTGAAAACCCAGTTTCAGCTGAGAGATCTGTGGTAGGCCACTTCCTCTATGCTTGGTTTTCCTTCTTGATTTTCACAATCTGCGGGAGGGATCTTTGTGCTAGAGTGTGTTGGTTTGGCAGATTTCTCCAATCTTAAAATAGTGGTGGTCCCTGTCATTGCCCCTATATGGCGTCATCCCCAACAAGAGCCTGCAGAATGAATTACAATAGCTAGGAAATAGATTGAAGCAACATTCGTGTTTTATTTGACTCTCTACATGCCATTACTTGAATAAAAACTCAGCATGGAAATATTCCTTTTAAGATACTAAAGTAAAACGTATGTGACAGGGTTCTATAACTCAGGGCTTAGAGCGCTGGTCTTGTAAACCAGGGGGGTCGTGAGTTCAAATCTCGCTTGGACCTACAGTGTGCTTAGCGTGTCCTGTCTTTCTCTCTACCACAGCTCCATCGATACTTCAACCCCTGCGGAATTTTGGCTCGTCGTATCTACTCACGGCTGCCCAGGTGTAACACTATCGCTCCAAGGTTCTTGTGCTAGTGCGCAAACGCTGCTGCTTTGCCGCCGGGGGTTTGGCAGCGTCCATCATAAGCTGCAGGAAACGCTGCCAGCCCCGCGGACGCCTGGACGCGCGGGTCCAGAGAATTGGATCGAGCCCTCTGCACCCGATCCCAAGGGGAGGAGTCCGCGGCATACATCCGGTTTAGGCGTCCGGGAGAAAGTAGGCTTGTCAGGCAAGGTTTCAGGATGCTGTGGGTTTTCCAACTGTTAAGTCCGGGGAGAGGAAATCCTGGGGCAAAATACCTACCTCTAAAGCCCGAAATCAGTCAAAGGGAGAAATAAAGTTTTATTCCCGGGCTGTCTTTCTCCTCTGCTCCAGCAGCAGCAAAACCGGGCTCCCCCTCACCTCTCAGTTACAGATAAACCCTCCTTGCCCAGGTAATTATCCATTGATTCGGAGATGAACCTCTCTCCACCCGAGGAATGATACAAATGCACTATAGCCATACATCTTTCCACCTCTGAATGCCTATTGATATGCAGATATACTAAAGCTAGGCGAGATATTCTGGAAATAGTACAATTTTATCCACACCAACACTTCAGTATCTCAGCGGGAAAATTAAGGTCGAGAGTTGGGTCACTAAATTTGTTACTGCATCAAAGAAATTGTGGCTTCCTCTTTGAAAAATCTTAACATATTTTCTCCAAAAGATAGTTGTCACAGAAACGTTGGGCTTACCCATCTGTATTATATTTCACATTTCCCCCCCCCCCACCACCACACACACACCCCCCGCCCCCCGAGACAGTGGACGAGTAAGCGGCAGATTGATGCACTCGACGTGCCGATGCGCCTGCACTCCGAGGCGAGCAGAGGAAAAATGAGGAGGTGCCCGGGACTGAGCCCGGGGCCCGCCCCTCCCCCTGGCTCGCGGTGGCGCGGCGCGTACTGAGTCCCACCGCCTCAGCCCCTAGTTCTCCGATAACCCTAATGGGCCTCCCACTCTAGGCACACATCACGCCGAGAGGCCCCGGGCCCCGCACACCAGTAAGGCCAACAGTCCCCGGCGGAGCAGATTCCCACCAGCGGTCTCGGGATGCATGAGCTCAAGGGACGCCTGCGATGGGCCCACGGGTTGACTTTCCTTAGAAGCCCTTCAGTGAAGCATGGAATTCAGCTCTAGAAGGGTTGTTCCCAGAAATGCGGACGCAGGAACTTGCTTTGTCCGTGGTGTCAGCTGGCGGCAATAAGATTTCCTGAACACACCTTTGTTTACTGGTATACTGAATTGGGGATTCCAGGAAAGTACAGCTTGTACTTCCTTCGATAGCTCAGCTGGTAGAGCGGAGGACTGTAGTGTGGCACTTGTACAGTCATCCTTAGGTCGCTGGTTCGACTCCGGCTCGAAGGAAAGAATATTTTGGGGCCGTTTACCCGAGTGAGCTGTGACTGTCTCTGGGTTTTCTCTCTCTTGTTCTGTCTTCTGGAGTCTCATTCTCCGAACTTTACTCCTGTCCCAAAGAAAAACAGTCGCGAGAATGCGAGCTTCCCGCGTCTCATCTAAAAAGAAATGGATCTTGTGGGATCAGGCTTTTAAACTGAGGAGACAAGTATGTGTCAACTTCCCCACAAAACTGCAAGAGGTCTGAGTTGCCCTTCCAAACATGCTTTTCCTTCTGCCTTCTAGTTGATCCTAGGTTGCTGCCTGAGGTCTAAAGGGTGGAGACCCAAGACCCCTCGTTGGTAAAAACACTGTATATGCAACTGTGCGTAAGTACGTGCGTGCGACCTGCGGGACTCTAGAATTTGGGAACAACCCCCTGTGACCTTCAGCCCGAGTACTGCCCCAATACTACACACATCCATCCAGGTGGAGGCCCTTACGAGGCAGTATTTATTTAGCTATGTATATGATTTTTATAGTTCCACAGAAAGATTTTGAGCCGGAGCAGATAACAGGAATAGGAGTTGACTGAGTTGGGATGAGCTGGAATCGAATTCTTGACCGGTAAACAATTTAAGCAAAGGGTGGGGGGGTGGGGGGAATTGAAAACTTCGTTCTCATTCAGAGAAACTTAGAGAGGTTTGGACTATACGACCGCGCGCCAGACTGGTTTACCTCCAACCGACTCCAGCTTCCTGTATTTTGATGCCCAATAGCCCTGACTTTAGGATTTTATGCTCACGCGAGGTAACAACACTGACAGATATACTTCCCGCATGTCTGTCCTGGGCCTCAAGACCCTACAGCCAGGCAGCCGAGCTCCCCTTGGGCCCTGAGGCTTCAACCGGGTTCTCTCCAGCTCCCTCCAGACTCAAGCTCGCGGCTGGAACCGTCTGGGCAGGACTTGGTGGAGGGCAGACATGTGGCCTGCAGTCTGAAAGGCTGCCTCTCCTTACCCCATTGGGGAGAATTAGGGGCGTGCGACTTCATGAAAATGGGAAGAACTAAGGAAGGCAAGAGGTAAATGTCACAATGGAAATCAAACTCCTGAGCAGCCTGGCGGCCGACTGCTGAAGAAAACAAAAATGAAGTTCAGAGTAAACAGAGGGAAGGGTCCCTCCCTGTAGCTCGTTGGTCTAAGAGTATGAGAAAAGTGTTGGGCTGTGGCTCGTTGGTCTAGGGGTATGATTCTCGCTTTGGGTGAGAGACGTCCTGGGTTCCCGGACGAGCCCAGACTGTTAACACTTCTTTCCTCTGGAAACCGCTGAAAAAAGTTCCGTTCTAGTACAAACTTCCCGTGTTCCAAGTTGTTCTGGGAGAGAGAGGTACACTGAACCAACACGTCCCAGCCGCTCCGCCTATGGACGCCTCGGAGGGGCCGCTTCGCTCCTGGGAACGAGGGCCGGTGTCCTCCCGGCAGTCTGTGCCCCGGTGGCTTCCCTGAGCGACGGGCGTGGTTCGGCAGGCTCCCTCGCTGCCCAGACGGGGACTCTCCGCTCGCCTGGGTCCAGGGCTGCCGTGGCCCCCGCTCCCGCGGCGGGCCCGGGCGGGGTCCTTCTAGGAGCGAGGGCGCGGTCCCCGCTGCGCAGAAGCTTGCGCTCCGGCCCTCCCGTCCCGGCTGCGCCCGCGTCCGGTCCGGTTAGACACCCGCCCGCTGACCACACCGCGCTGGATCCAAAGCAAGGTTCTAGAGAACATCTTCGTGTTTTCTACCAGCGCCCCATCTTCATACAAAGGAGGAAGAAGCGGGCAAAAACCAAAGACTTCTCCTTCCGCGGCCTGCCCATTTCTGCGCCTTGCAGCGAGGTCGAGGTGGGTTCACGCTCCTGCTCCTCCTTGCCAGCAGCTTGATCGAGGGCGTTCTGGCCGGGGGAGGCCTTGTAAACCGAGGCCGTGTGGGGCTCCTCGGGGAGGCGTTTGCGGGACCGGACTGGAGTTGCTGGGGAACGGGAAGGAAGGTACAAGTCCAGTTGTTACACGAGTGAGCGATTGTGTATTCCCGCCCAGCTGTGTGTTTTCCGCAGCTGAGCAGAGATGGCAGCGTGAATGCCTGTTGCCTAGAACGTAGGCTCAGGGAACCACAGAATCGACGAACCAAAGGATGGCCTGCAGAGGCCAGTGCTTGGTCAAAACCAGTAAGTTTTTGCTTGGTGCCCAGGTTGATCGCCATATTTATGAAGCAGGCCTTGTCCAGTTTTTGCCCGTGTAACTACCATTTGGGGACTGGTGTTTTTGTCTTCTGTTTACTCACTTCTTTCTCCTCACCCTTAACCCATCCTTAGCCCCTACTGTGAAATTCTTGGAGACATTTTGCCAACAGCCTCTTCCCCAAGCTCTTTTACTGGAATGTTGGTATCCTCAGCTTTTTTACTCTGAGAAAGCACATCAAATTAGAACAGCACATGGGCGAAACAGAACATGTTTATTTAGGAAGGACAGTTAAAAACAATTTCAGCACCATTCTGCCAACTAGGGAAATCTCAAATAAGCCAAGACCCTCCCTCTGTGTCATTAAGAACCTTATAATCAAATCATAAATATAATTACCAGAAACCCAAGTGACAGACCATGGCCAGCTTTTCAGAAGAAGCCTCAGGTATTCAAAGAGCTACTAAACTACACAGTTACTAACTAGCTAGTTAGTACAGAAGGATAATTTTGTTAGACACTTGATTTCAAGCAAGTCTGTAACAGATAAAGGGGAAGTAAAATATTTTTGGAATTTACAGAGCTATTCAATGTCGATTTCCCTTAAACAGCAGCTTTCAGTGGCACCTTTACAATTAGCTTTGATTTTCTAGAAATTACTAGCATGGAATATGAGAGCAATGTGGTGCATTGGAAAGTTTCGGTCACAGAATCACCAGATGTTCCTTGGGCTATGCATGTTTCCTTTCTTTGTTCCTCAGCTTTCTCATCTGTAAAATGAGGAGTTGACAGTCTCTAAGGTCCCTCATTTTGTGACTGCAAGGAGTAGCAGGGTGCACGACTCTTACATAAAAGAAGGTGGTACTCCAATACCACCTTGTGGAGAAAACCTGTAGTTTGGCAGAGAGGATGGCAGAACCCATTCCAGCAAAAGAGAAATGACTTTGGCTGTTGTTGAAAGAGCAGATGACAGGTTATAAGTCGGCAAATGTAAGAAATTTGTCAGGTTATTGTTGGAAGCATTAGCCAATGTGACTTAGAAATTAAAACAGATGGCTAAGAAAGTGGACCAAAGCAGGCAAGTGAAACCCCTCTCTAGGAGTTTTCATTTAATCTGTGTTTGAGCAAAGAGCAATCTCTGTAAACAATTACTCTCAGAAGAACACCTTGAAATATCTGGGAGAGAATGGGCACAAAGCCCAGAATTTGTTGAAAAGTAAATGTTTAATTTTTGTTTTTGCTTGGAGATAAAAGCATGTTAACAAGACTTTGTCCCAATTCTCCCTCAGTCAATAGTGTCCGCCCTTCCTGGAGATGTGAGCTTTTTCCTCTTTTTTCCATGTGATCTTTATCCTCTTTTAACCATATTTTTTGTTACTAAATAGGTTTCATGCTTATAGATATATAAAATGTTATAGTTACAAAGGAATTTAGAGATTAGTTTCTTCCCTCCATCACCTAATTCTATAGTTAGTCTTCAGGACAGAATTAAGCATATGTACTCTGTATAATTGGGAAAGCATGCCAGCACTAGGTTTCTTAGGAGAACCCACGCTTCCTGTGTCTATGTGCAAAGAAACTATTGACTTGAAGGGACAGACATAGAAACAATTTGGGAAAAGGGGAATGACTTTTAAGTTCAAGCTGTCAGAACATGTTTTTAATACATGAGTATTTTTTTCAATTGGCAATTGTTTTACAGCTATTAAAATTACTGACAAGCTATGATGTTCCTTGTGTAGGTATTTCTGAAACACAAATGAGTAAGCACTTAGATGCATTTTAATGAAGTAGTCACTTTTTTCCCAAAAAACTGTTTTTTCTGTTCCATCATAACTTCATTGTACCAAGCTGAAAAGAAAAACAATTAGAATGAAAGCAACCATTCACCATTCACTTAGGTGGCTTTTTACATTGTCAACTACATGAGGAGGCTGTGAATTCTCTCAAGGTTGTCAGATGAAATCCCAGAGGCAGAGAAGGGACCTGGCTGTGTTCAAGGGCTGCAGGCTGCTCCCCAGCACCGCTGCATGACTCCAACACCAGAATATCAGAAACCGATCTGTTTGTGTGAGTTGGTGCTTGTACTGGTGTTTGAGGCCATGGGATTCTGTGTGTGTGTGTGTTTAATTTCGAAGTAGAATACCTTATCTCTGCTTTTAGGCAATTTATCAGAGAAGTGTCATGTTGATCAAATAATCTTGATCCTCATAGAGTATGGAAGTCAACTGCTGTGTGCCTTGTCCAGGATGCTTGAACAATAGGGGCGTTGCAGTGGGCCTGACAGCTGTCCTCCCTTCCAAAGGACTGGTTGGTAGCTTCTTAGAACTCAGTTCTTCAGTGTCTTTTTAAAAAGTAACATGATTAATTTAAAATAGGTACCACTTGCAAATAGTGTGTTTGCCCACAAAGGAAAGGGAGCATTCGGGCACTCTGATGGATGCCAGTGGAGGCCTCACTCTGTGGGCCCCAGGTCCTCTTTGCTCCTAAAGGACTTTGAACTTTATTGTTTGGCAAAAACAAATATACTGGTCAGAGACAGGCCTCTCCCTTCCTTTCCAGAGACTTCAGTAGTCCTGAGACACCAGGTACCAAGCGAAGGGCAGTGTATGGCAGTTTGCTTTATCCTCTTTTCACTTCCCTTGCTTTTTTTCCCTTTGAGCTCAGGATTTCGTTAGGGATGCAGGGAAAAGGGAAGAGGACAGGGGAAAAAGTGCTCAGGTAGGACTGTGCCCAGTACAGCTGCAAAGCTGGTGAGGTTTGCCCTTTTTCAGGTTCTCCATGCTGCCCACTTTTCTTCCTCCTTAAATCCTCAGCCCTTCCAGTTTGCCAAAAACTGTTCCTAAGAGAGACTCTAAAGCACACGCCCAAGGATGTGTAAATCATTGGCATCTGTTTAAAAAATTAACCATCCTAGGGGCTTTTGCATTAGAACGGGGATCAAAACGATAAAAATGAAGGCGTATCAGTGGGCTTTCAGGATTTATCAGTAGTAGAAGCAGGGCTTTCCTGCAAACTTGGAAGCCTTTTTGCTGTACCCACGAACCAGACCCACCTTGTTCGCTGACTGCTATTAAACCAGTCTTGTTTAGTAAGCCTTAAAAGAAGCCAGGAGAGTTTCTGTTGTAGGGGTCTCCAAAGTGAGGTCAGATAGTGCATTTCTAGAAGCAATGAGGGATAACAAAAAGAACTTAGGGCCTAGGAGTTGTCTAGTCACTGCTTTACAGACTAAGGATGTAGAGGTGAATAAGCCAGGTACTCTTTTCTCAGATGGTTCCATCTAATGGAGAGACAATGTGGTTAATTAACTATCAAGGGAGTGATGGCTGACTGCCTGTTTCCTGGTTATACCAACCTGGAGTAAAAGCAGACCCACCCCACCCGTGTTGTAAGAACTCCAGATTCTGTTGTAAGAACTCACATTCTTTTCTGAGCATCCTGAAGTTCCTGGAGGGTGTAAACATGCTTGCAAACTAGGCTTTTTTTAGCCCACACAATGAGGCTGTAATTTACTTCCTTCTTGCTCCAGCTCCCTGGGTGAGGTCTATGCCTGCCTTGCAAAGGGACCCACCCTGCTGAGACTGTCTAAAGATGTCAACACGCAGTGTCCTCCTCCTTTTTAGTAGAGCATATGGTCTGACCTGATACTCTAGGTCGTGTCCAGATTCGCCTCAAGTGTGTCCCAACAGGATCCTCAAGTGGGGCAAGCTATTTTGCCTCCTGCCCCACCCCCATCAGCCATGTTGTAAACTTCTTTACACCAGCTTGCTATGTTCGCTCTGAATCACAGAGAGATTTCTTGAAACAATCTTGATTTTCACTCGAGGTTTCATTGTGGTGCCTTGCACCAGGCCCCAGGAAGCTGGCTCAGATGTGTATGTGGATGGCGCACACTGTACCTTGCCCGGCACTGCTTCACAGCCTTGCATCTTTCTCCCACCTCTCATCATGTTCTTCTCTTGGGATGAATCCTTTCTCAGAGGCTTCTCAGAGGCATCACAGACTCTTAAACAAATAGACTTTGCTGGGCTGACTCACCAGATTTTCAGACACATCAGGACACATCTGAAGTCTAGTCAATGCAACTTAAGCCGACAACCTGGGACTCCTGTTCCAGGCTTGCCTCTGTAGGGGAGAGTGCTGGGTACACAGGAACCACAAAAAAAGAAGTGGGCAGCTCCTTCTGGCATGGGGTCCATCAGGACTCAGAGAATGTACTGCTTAATCTGCATCTGGAATGATGAACAGATTTTCTCCCTGCGGATGACAGGTTTGAAGTCTGACTGCATCATTTATCTGCTCTTTGATCTTAGAGTTTCCTCATAAGAAAAACTGACTAGCATAATAGCCACCTCACACAGTCCTGTGGATGGTTAAATATAATCATGTATGTGAGAGCTTCATAAAATGAAAGGTGACACTGATTATTAGAATTACTGTGTTGTTTTCAAGTGCAGTTGTTTTAGAGGCAGGCAGCCTGGCTTTAGATGACACCCTCTCAAATACAGACAGACGGAAAACTTGGAGGTGGGTGAGTGACAACAGAGGGTTGAGGATTTTTAGAAGAGATGACTGTTCAAGATTTAGCACCAGCATAGGTGGTTGCTGGGGGCCTGTGAAATAGTTGGCATCCTTCTGCTGCCTGATACTTGAACCCACAGGCT